CATGCAGACACAACTGCTTCACGGTTGAAATACGAATGAGACGGAGGTACCCCTCTGGTAACTAGGTATAACTATGACAATTTTGTAATTATACAAATATCTATATATAGGTATACACACAAACACATATGTATACACATACACACAAACATAAACACACATCTATATTATATTTGGCTTACAGTTATAATTAACACAAAGCATTTGTTACGTAACTTAAAATGGTAAAAAAGCTGATAGTTTGCCTGATGGAAAATAGTAGCCATCACTCATGGACATGAACAGCATAATGGATGTCACAATGTATACTGTGACAACTATGGTAGGTACCCCTAATTCGTTACTCTTCCTGAATCTACGCAACTACCTAATGGAATGCATCCAATTTTTTTAAGGAAGGACTCTTCCAGCTTTACCAGCAGTGGGACGATATAACGAGGTACAAAATTATTATAACCAGGTATTATATTAAACATTACGGTACAATACAAAGAAAAATTATAACAATTTTTGTAAAGATTTAGTGGGCAATAAAGTAACTTTCCTTATGAAGTCATATATCCCACACGCCGGATATAAATTATAGCTGGCAATAAAAGCAGTTTTAATTTCACCCTCATTGATCCCAATTTCGGATAATATTGCCTGACGATAAATATAGGTTCGATATAATAAATACATATACAGAAAAAGTGTTGCTTAGAGCAGTGTTTTTCAAAGTGTGAATCGCGACCCCTTGGGGGGTACCCCGAGCCTCTCTAATTCTTCCGTAAATACATCAATCGATCAATAATACACAATAAAATAATAACAGACATCGATTATATGTCTGTTTTAGATATTTTATTATGTACTAGCTGTTGCCAGCGACTTCGTCCGCGTTTCCGTCGTTTTTCGTAAAATAAGTAACCTATGTCTTTTCTCACGGTTCAGTGGTTTTAATGTAACAGAAACATTGCCCTTCACTGCTCTTCTCCTGTTGATCGTAGAAAAGTACACTATAACCTGCCCAGGAGTATAAAGAATAATTATACCATGTTTCATTAAAATCCGTCGAGTGGTTTTTGTTTCTATAACGAACATACAGACAAAAATTTTACTGATTGCATTTTTGGCATCAGTATCGATCACTAATCACCCCCTGATAGTTATTATTTTGGAAATATATTTCATGTACAGAATTGACATCTCTACAAATTTATTATAGGTATAGATTTTTTTTTCATAATTGTACTGTAATAAAATCCATACACATTCGAAACTGTAATAAGGGGGTCGCGTCATGAAAAAGATTGAAAAACATTAGCTGCATGTACATAAAAACATTAACATAATTATTGCTGATTTTCACCATCTTACAACTCGCCACAAACTAAAGTTTCATTCCAATCATCTGGACGAGTGGCAGTCTTCCACCGTGCGTTTTTCAAGACACTTACTCCCACGCACAACCATTCTATGGAATCAACTTCCAGCAGCCGTATTTCCGAACCGATACGACAACATAACCTTCAAGAAAAACACTTACTCCCACGCACAACCATTCTATGGAATCAACTTCCAGCAGCCGTATTTCCGAACCGATACGACAACATAACCTTCAAGAAAAAAGTATATTCCTTTTTAAAAGGCCGGCAGCACACCTGCAATGCCGCTGGTGTTGTGAGTGATCATGGGCGGCGGTAGTCACTTACCATCAGGTGAGCCGCGTGCTCGTTTGCCACCTGTGTTGTAAAAAAAAAAGCTTAGAGTCTTTTTACAATATCAAAACATATAGGTGTATGTCGATGTAGTATGTATGTAAGGCGAAGGCTTCATGCAAAAACCACTTTGGAAGATATTTTTTTTCTCCTTCAAATTGTTTCCTATTAATGTAAGAATGGAAATTAAATACTACAATAAGATACCGAAGGATATTTTAGATCTGCCTTTTAATGAGTTTAAAACTGTTATTAAAAAACACTTGTTGAACAAAGCCTATTACACACTAAACGATTACTTGAATGACAAATGTGCATGGTGTTAGTCGATCATGCACAGGCTTTTTAACGACCATGTAATTTTAGACATAGTACATTTAAATAAATGCACATAATGTTAACAGAGATTTAAAAGAGTAACTGTCGAGTTTCTTGCGGGCTCTTCTCAAAAAATAACAACTTTACGAACCCTGTTTTACAAAAAACAGATAATTTTGAATATGCTTATAAACTGGTCTATTTGAATAAACATTATTTTAATTTGAATATTTTAAATACGATGTTTGTATGTTTGCATGTTACTTAATTACACCTAAACAAGTGAACTAATTTAAAAGAAATTTGCCACACTATCAGGTTCTAACTACTAAAGTTACCAATGTACCAAATTTTATTTAAATACTTAATAAACAAAATAAGAATAATTTTCCAAATCGGTTCAGAACTGACAGAGTTATGAAATAACAAATATATAAAAAAAAAATATAACCGAATAGAAAACTCCTTTTTTTATACAACTTAGAATGACAAACAAACTGACGGCCCACCTGATGGAAAGTGGTAACCGTCGCCTATAGACATGAGCGGTACCATGGACATAACAGAGTATACTGTTTCGCCCATGATACCCCCCCATGCATTGCCATTCCTGAGGACTCAAGTGTTATTCCTCTGTACCCTGTAAATTCACTGTCATATCCCACCCTTCAAACCGAAACACAGCTATGCAAACATAAATGTTTTACCGTTGAAACACGAATGAGACAGAGCTGCCCAAGCCAACAACTTTTGTACAAAGTCTCCCTCTGGTAAATATTCGTTTATATATTCACCATATATTCATATATATATATATATATATATATATATGTAATTTTAGTATGTGTGTTTATCAACAATGACTAGTACCGCATTCGAGTATTCTGACACTTCCCTATGGTTGACTAAGAGAGAATGCTTTCAGCATTAAATCCGCCATGTGCACATATATGTACTAATGAATAAATAAATAAATATTTTTTTACTCATACACAAAACAAGATATTGTGTCGAATTATTTTTACAAAACTATTATAAACATTTTTGTAAAATTTTATTATATGCAGACGATCTTAAAATTTATCATATAATCGACACTCCTAACGATCATATACTTTTTCAAGAAGATTTAAACCGTTTCACTGCATACTGTAAAATTAATAAATTAACTCTCAGTTTGCATAAATGCAAAACTATAACCTTCACAAGGAAACGAAATATTAGTAATTTTTCATATACATTATGCAATTGTGTCCTTGATAATGTACAAACAATTAAAGATTTAGGTCTTACATTGGATACTAGACTTGTGCTTGATACACATATTGATAATATTGTTGCTAAGGCATACAGAATGTATGGTTTTGTAATGAGATGTACGAATAACTTTAAGAAACCCACTACTTATTTATATTTATATAAAAACCTTATTCGATCTCAATTGGAATATGCTGTAACTATATGGAATCCTATTTATAAGTTTTACTGTGATTGTTAACGCGATTCCCTTGGGATTTATATCCCGAGAGATAGTTCCCTTCGACTAGACTGTCATTACAGGATCACGATTCGGGCAAATTAAGGAGTTACGAGCGTACCTGGATTCTGCTATGGCGGCTGCTGCAGGAACCGATTTGCGGGTCACCACACCACACGCGCGGCGGAATTAGTGTATATACACCTTCACTATCACAGCACCGACATACAGCTTGATAATTTGATAGTTTTAATGAATTAATTATTTTTACACGTAATTATGTGCGAGCGGCGTTTCTCAGATTCGAGCGGGAAAAATGAACAGAGCCGCCATCTTTTTTCCCAGCAGCGGCGCGGGTGTACTCGGCTCCTTTCGGCCCTAGATCGTGAAGTATGTCTGTCCTTGTCTACACGAAATGTGAATTTAAACTAGTTGTGGCGCAAACATTCCCCCGGCCTTAAAGGGTTGCCTTTAAAAAAAATAATAATATATATATATATATATATAACTGGGAAATGAATAGCAGATGATGAGTTATAGCAATATGCGGAAGATATATATATATAAATAAAATGAGCGGTATATTAATGTGTATAAGATTAATCATAAGCGGGAAATTATTTGAGATTATGTGAATACGATATATGAATTAAACTTATATATATAACTAAGCTAAATCTAAATTTCTTTTAAATTAAATATCTGAAACTATTGATGCGGCAATGGGCACAAACGAACTACCGGGCGAAGGTAGCTACCCTTTGACGTCCTAACAGTGACCACTCGCGTGGTTCCGTCTTTAGAAGGATGTACCTTTTCAATGACAGCTAATGGCCATGAAAAGGGCGGTGCGTTGTCTATTACTATAATAACAACAGTACCCTCTTTAATGGGAACTGATGGAAGATTCCATTTAGCGCGTGTCTGCAATTGATGCAGATACTCCATTCGCCACCGGCGCCAGAAAGACTGTACAATGCTATCCAAAAGGGAATGGCGTTGATTTAAATCGTGCGTGCTACCTTCTGGCGCTGGGATGGATGAAAGAGGGACAGTGTTTAAAAAATGAGCCGGCGTAAGAGCAGACGGCTCAGCGGGGTCACTACTTCTAGCTGTGAGTGGACGCGAATTAATAAGTGCCTCAACCTGAGAAAGCACTGTTATAAGTTCCTCATAAGAGAGAATTTGTGATCCTATCACTTTAAACAAATTATTTTTAACAATTTTTACGATGCTTTCCCAACTTCCACCGAAGTGGGGAGCAGCGGGAGGAATGAATTTCATATTTATGCGATTTTCTGAAAGTTCTAATTCTAAATGCGGGCGATATTCATCAAGAAATTTATATAAATCGCGAAGATACTTGCGAGCACCTACGAAACATGTCCCATTATCCGTATATAAACAGTTTATTGGGCCTCGGCGAGATAAGAATCGTTTAAGTGCGGATAAGAAACTAACCGTGCTTAAATCAGTAGCAACTTCAATATGAGTAGCACGGGTTGTCAAACACGTGAAAATACATAGCCATGCTTTGCGGCTTTTAACCCCCGACCACGAATAGGTGTATACTGTAAGGGACCGGCATAGTCACAGCCTACATGCGTAAATGCCTTATCAACTTGAGTGACGCGGTGGCTCGGTAGATCGGCCATAAGTGGAAACGTAGGGCGCGGTTTTATTTTAAAACAAGCGTTACATTTATGAATGCGATAACGTATTAAGCGGCGAGCGGACTGGATCCAGTACTTCTGCCTGAGTAAGGACATAAGTAGCTCTGGTCCAGCATGAAGATGCTTCTTATGATAAAAATCAATAAGAATATCGATAACATGATCGCGGCGCGGTAAAAGTAGAGGATACTTAGTACAGTAATCCTCAGCGGAACTTGACAAGCGACCACCGACGCGAATGACATCGTCCTTGTCTATAAATGGTCGGAGCTTGTTTAAAGCGGAAGAACAATATTTATTATTTTTTAAATTATTAAATTCATGTGCAAAATAAACTTCTTGCACGGCGCGAATTAATTTGATTTCAGCAAAGTCTAAGTCTTCACTCGTAATAACGATATTACGAGGAAGGCGTTTAATAAATTTATAAATGTAAACAATAGTCCGTAATAATTTTGAATATCCTGAAAGGCGTTGAGATAGCGCGTAAAGTAGTGATTCAGAGGTATTTGAAATGAATGTGTGTATAACAGTCCGTTGTTCGGGAATGTCTTCATTCGATAAGTCGTGATTGACAACAAGTGGCCACTCGGCCGGGTTACTTAAAACCCATGAAGGTCCGGTGTACCATAGCGGATGGTTTACTAGCTTGTCTGGCGTGAGACCACGAGAAAGGCAGTCTGCAGGATTGTCGGAACCAGCAACGTGATAGAAACAGTCTGCCGGGACGTTATCGATAATTTGTACTACCCGATTGGCAACGAAAGTTTGCCAGCGGTGCGGAGAAGAGTGGATCCAACAAAGAGCCACTTTCGAATCACTAAAAGCGTATATTTTATTTACAGGATACCGTGGTGCGATGGTATCAGCAACCTTACGAAGTAGTTTTGCGAGTAATACGGCTGCGCATAATTCTAATCTCGCGATGGATACAATTTTTACAGGCGAGACCTTTGACTTGGCGCATAATAATTGAACAAAATATTTATTATCAACCCGAATGTGTAGGTAGACTACACCGCCATAAGCACGTTCACTAGCGTCAGCAAATCCTAAAATATTCAATTGACAATCCTCAACCACTCCTAGGTGTCGCGGTATGCGAAGCCTATTAAGCGAAGGCAGTTCTAAACAGAACTGTCTCCAGGCTGCGATGATATGATGCGGGGGTTGAGCATCCCAATCAAATTTTAACAACCAGAGTTCCTTAATAAGGAGCTTGGCGTACAAAATAGTGGGAGCCACGAAACCTAAAATGTCCCATAAACGGGCTACAGCGGAGAGAATAGCGCGCTTAGTACATATAGCGTCTGGCGTGATTACTTCGAACCTAAAAGAATCATTAGATTTATCCCAAAATAGACCTAAGATCTTGTGCGAGGTGGAATTATCAAATGATTTGTCACTGAGGGTTTTGTGTGTATCCGGAATGTGAGCAAGCACGTCGCTGGAGTTGCTCGTCCACTTTACAAGATCAAACTGAGCCATTTTAAAAAGTGCAATGAGCTCGTTACTAATGGTAATAGCCTGTTCATCTGTCATAACAGAAGATACAATATCATCCATATATAGTGCAGACGAAGCAACAGCGGCAGCAGCAGGGAATTTATCCCCTTCATCTTCAACTAGTTGGTGAACAACACGGAGCGCGTGAAATGGACTCGACCTCAGTCCGAAGCATACACGATTAAATTCATATTCAGTCACAGGATCATCTGTGCTGAAGCGGTACAAAATTCGCTGAAACCTACGATCAGGTTCGCGTACAACTATTTGATGAAACATTTGACAACAGTCTGCGGATATACAAATTTTAAAAAGACGAAAATTAATTAAAATACAAAATAAATCACCCTGTAGGTTGGCACCACTATGCAATATATCATTTAACGAACGACCAGATGTCGTTTTACAACTGGCATCTAAAACCACGCGCAATTTAGTGGTGACCTTATCCTCTCGTAGCACTCCGTGATGTGGAATGTAGTAAGAGGGTAGAAGTGAATCATCTTGATGCGATTTGACTGGACTTAAATAACCCTTATCAATATAGGTGCGAATTACTTCATTATAAGTAAAACGAAAATGAGGTGAGGCTTCCAACTTACGTTCTAAACATAAATAACGTCTATGTGCGGCAGCGAATGAGTCGCCTAAGGAGAACATGTCCTCGCGAAACGGCAAGGATACGATATATCTACCACTATCATCACGAGTAGTGGTGGCGCGAAAATAATGTTCACACTCGAGGTCATCGGCACTCTGAGCGGGCGGCGCGGTTATCTCCTCCAATTCCCAAAAACGTTGGAAGAGAGTGTCCATGCGATCATGAATCACGGAACAACACGAGGTTGTATATGCGGTATTTAATAATGCGGAATTAGGCGATTCGGAATTAAAAGTGGGTACGGAACCCATAACTACAAACCCTAAAACGGTTTGTATCGCGGGCGGAATATTACGGTGCTTGCTATGCACAATACCCGGCAATAGCAAGTGCGGGAATATAGAACTACCTATAAGTACGTCTATGTTACTAGGAATGGCAAACTCGCCGTCTGCCAGCGGTAGGTTTTTAATGTGTGAAAATGCGGCGGTATTGACAGTAACGGAAGGCAAACTGTCCGTAATACGGTCAACAACAAGCGCGGAAATATTAAAGTTAACATTTAAATTAAAACGAGAAAATATATTAAATTCTACTGAACCCTTAACGGTTTTTTGTGAGCCACCGATACCCTTTACCATCGTGGATGAATATTTTAATTCATTTAATAAACCTAAGCGGTCACAACATTCATAAGTAAGTAGTAGTAAGAACTAAGTGTTGTTTACCTAATGCGTCATACACAATAACCTGTGCGGTCGCTAGTAACACGGTTTCGTTACTGACCGTACAAAGCGACAGATTACTCTGCGCGGCTACGGCCGCGCCGCTGTGTGACGGGGACAGGGGTGAAGCGATGCAACTAGAGGGCGCGGGCGCGGGCGCGGACGATTCGTGCGTGGGCCGCGAGCTCCGCTCCGTGGCAAAGTGTAGCAAAGAATGATGACGCTTTTGACATACACGACACGAAGATTTTGATGTACAAACACCTGACTTATGTTTGGTACTTAAACAATTTACACATGAATTGTTGACTTTAATATGTTTATAACGATCGAAAGGTGACAATTTTTCGAATGCACTGCATTTATAAAAATGATCATGCATATTACTATTACAAAGTGAACATTTTATAGGTGTTACACTTGAAACATAAGACTGCGGGTTTGGGTACTTATTAGAAGGCGGGCGGTATTTATTTAACTTTGTACTGGTGGCGGGCGCGGGTTGTGTATTTTCATAAATACGGCATTGCGTTTTTATAAAATTAATAAATCCGTCAAAATCCCGTGATTTTGTTATAGAAGAGTGTAATTCGAACGCGCGTAATGTTTCTGAATCGAATTTACGTTTCGCAATATATAATAAAATGAAATCAGATAAATTTTCTATACCTAAACCCTTTAACGACATAGCGGCGGTGACATAATTATCTATAAATAATTGAAAGCTTGCGGCGGAAGGCATGTTGCCTAATTTAAGATTTAAAATCTGGTCTAAGTAATTAGAACCGAGAACGTGAATATCTTGATACTTATCAAGCAGAGACTTAAATATAATTTCATAGTTTTCGGCGCAGGGTGTAATACCTGCAAATACCGATTGTACCTTGGGTGATAACTTGCCCAGTAAATAATACAGTTTTTCTGCGTTTGTAAGTGAGGAGTTGTCGTGTACAGTAGATTTGTAACTGGCGTAAAATAAATTCCAATCCTGATAATTCCCACTGAAGCCGACTAATTCCAGGGGGGGGAGCCTGGGCCTAGATACAGGTGCATCTATCCCACTCGAGTTCCCGCCCGTGGGCGCAGAAGAAAGATCAGAAAATGTCTGTTTAATTGAACAAAACATATCCTCAAATGAGTCATATACATGAAAATTAGGTACAGCAGAAGGATTTTCATCAAGCATCTTCTCATTATATTCATCGAGTACGTCTTGAAACTTATTACGAACGTCATCGATGGTTATACATGAACTAAGAAACATACGTCTTTTTTCTTCCGATTCAGTAGCCAACTTCGACTTATCGTAAATACCTTGTATTCGTTGAAATAAAGCATTACGTTTAGCTTCTAACATAATAAGTTGACGACTAGGTGAAAAGGTAGGCGCATCTTTGTCTTTACGAGACATAATGATTTAATGCAATATAACTATAGGTAATTATACAAAGTGACCTGTCAATAGACAGCGTAAGCGGACCGTAACGAAATAAAAATGCAATGTAGGTATGCAGCGAAAACACGGTTATAAGTGTTGCATAGATTACTATATAAAATATAACGGAATGCGGGATATATGTAATTATATTTGTATATTATGGGTGTGCGGGATGTGTATATATTAAATATAGTATACTTATAGGATAAAACTATAAGACTATACTATAAATGCGATGCTGAATACTTATTATCTAATGAAATAATAAAGAGGAATGCGGGATATTATATGGTATTATAAGCGGTATATAATAAATATGTTTATAAATAATAAACTATTACACATATAGGTGCTTGTTGCGGTATAATATAAAGAAATAACAAGGCAATCCTATACGGCTGCGCGGGTATGTCTGAGAAACTATAAGTTGGTAGTATAAGAATAAATAAGCGGATTTTATATTATCAATTTTGAAAGCGGTTTATAATAAAAATATTAAACGAAGGACCTTGCGAATAAATAGCAAAAGGGGTACGTTATTAAATGTAACTCAATTTAAAGATAGTAAATGCATCCGGTTCGTAACGGGCCAAAAAATGTTAACGCGATTCCCTTGGGATTTATATCCCGAGAGATAGTTCCCTTCGACTAGACTGTCATCACAGGATCACGATTCGGGCAAATTAAGGAGTTACGAGCGTACCTGGATTCTGCTATGGCGGCTGCTGCAGGAACCGATTTGCGGGTCACCACACCACACGCGCGGCGGAATTAGTGTATATACACCTTCACTATCACAGCACCGACATACAGCTTGATAATTTGATAGTTTTAATGAATTAATTATTTTTACACGTAATTATGTGCGAGCGGCGTTTCTCAGATTCGAGCGGGAAAAATGAACAGAGCCGCCATCTTTTTTCCCAGCAGCGGCGCGGGTGTACTCGGCTCCTTTCGGCCCTAGATCGTGAAGTATGTCTGTCCTTGTCTACACGAAATGTGAATTTAAACTAGTTGTGGCGCAAACAGTGATAAAATTGAAATGGTACAGAAAAAATTTTTGCGACGTTTACAATATAAATTTTCTCATAACCGTCGTTCATATGACCAATTATTGTATAAATATAATTTGCAAGACTTAAAATCAAGGCGCATACAACTAGAGATTATGATTCTGTATGATATTATTCAGGGTAAATATGACTGTATTTCATTAACAAATCAGATAAATTATAAAGTTCCAGTGCGTACACAAATGAGAAATTCACGAAGACAAGAATTGTTTGCAATTAACAGATACCGTACCAATTCCGGTATTCGTTCACCCATAAATAGAATTTTGAAAATATATAATGACAAATTTTATAATATTGATATATTTGCTACTAAACCATTAACTTTCAAAAAAATGGTAGCTAAACAATTAGTAACCTCCTCCCTCTCTCAGGAATTTAGTAATGCGTGCACATAATTAATAAATTATAAAATACATGTGTATAGTTAAATAACTTTTTTTTTTTTTTTTGTTGGTTGTTTTGCATAATTTGTACCGGTGACGTGGTTGTGTCAATGTTATTTATAATTTAACTTAATGAATAGATATAATGGTCGGCTCCACTTCTCGGCAATAATTGCATGTTTATATACTTTCTTTCTTTATATAGCAATCTGTAGTTAACGTTGTTGGTAATACTATTAATCACATTTAAATGTAATCTTATTATAATTATATATTGTATTACTGTTTGTTAACTTTAATAAAATAAAAAAAAAAAAAAAAAAAACATATTGAGTGCAGCAACATGCAGCCTTGAAAGGCTCGACAAATAAAATACTGCAGCAATGTAATAATTGTGAATAATTAACGTATATGACATTTGTTGGAATCTCGAATTTTTACGACGTTGTAAAATGGCTATCCTATAAATTACAATAATTAAATTAAGTGACACGCCATCGCAACTAGAATATCCGGGGGGAAAGGGATTGTTAGTAGCGGGGACTAACAGCCCCACTGTTAGCAATGTACTCTATCAGGTCTACCTCCACCCGATTCCAATGTAAACCATCGCGGTTAATTCTTGTTGAAATGTCCGCATTACAAATAATCCATCCCATACAGTGGACTTAGATCAGTTAACCAATCGTCACAAATTCGTCGAGAATTAACTACAACAATTTCTAAGAGGGTCCACGTAGAGGTCGACCTGAAGGTCTGTTTTGTATGAGTTTCCTAGACCCCATCACTAACAATCCCTTACCCTCTTACTTTCTGCTCCGTTTAAAACCTCTGATTTTAAACGGAAGAGACGTCACGATGGGCTAATTGACCTGCTTTTATCCTCCTGTATCATCAGTCTCTGGTGTCCCGTCAGCGTATACCGATAGCACAAGCGGAGTTACCATTCCATATTTACTCATTTAAAAAATAACTAGAATATAATGTCTTATATTATAAGAAAATATAACAAACATCTGGAATTATAATCCAGAATACACAATTCAGAGTTATTTGAAAAAAAATTCTAAACTTGTCTGAACCGAGGATCGTATTTCCCCGAAGGCTGTTTACTAAACTACAGGTTTTTACTAATACAATTATTTACTATCTATTATTACTGATTTTTTTTATATTTTAAATTAATTCCTTATGAATACTTTAGCTCCCTATATTTTTTTCAGTATTTTTTATTTGTTTACAATTAACATACTCAGCATTCCATAACCTGAGCATCCGAAGAAGGAAGTTTTATTCTTACCAATACACGATCAAGATCGCAAATGCAACAATGGGGTCGAGTCTAAGGTGTAATTTCTCTAAACTTAAATATAAACATTATAAATTATTAAAATAACCCATTAATGGATACATACTTGAATAAAAATTATTTATTATTATTATTTTGAAATTTAAATTTACAAAAAAAATAGTGATACAAAATCAACCCTAGTATATAAATTTCGTAGTAGAAATATAAGAACATGTTAAATATGTTTACAATAAATTTAATTCTATAAAATTGCCCTTGAAATAAATTCCAATCGATTCAAAATTCAAAAAAATTCAAAATTCAAAAATCATTTATTCATGTAGGACATTTTAGCCGCTTATGAACGTCAAATTTTTACATTATAATTTTATAATTTATTTGATTGGAATCGGTATTGGAATTGTGATGTCTCACACTCTCAAATTGCATCACATGCAACATATTGCACATATTACATGCAGTACGGTTATTAAATAATATTATAAACATCACTGATATATTTAGTAGCAGCCTGCCAGAGATATTAGAAGCGGCTCAGACATATCTAGAGTCGGGTTAAATACCTTTATTATAATTTTGTATGTTAGCACACTAGGTTTATAACATTGGTTTATGCTGAAATAATAGTATAATTATCTTTAATGAATAAATAAATAAATAAATATTTGTTTCATGTAGTGTTATCACTTAAAGAAGTAAACGGCATTGAATAAATATATACAGAACTCTTGACATCATTTTGACATATTACATATC